CACTATATATTAACTGAGCACTGATATATTTAGAAATGAGAATATTAAATTTAGTTGTAACAGCTCCTTCATTGTTACATGGTCAGGGCTTTCAATAGCGTCGAGCAACAAGGAAATGCTCAATAAATATTTACAGAGGAATAAAATTTTCTCTGGTAATTATATCTCTGGTATTTGAATATTTTTAAAATATCTTATATTAAAACAAGTCATGTTTGAGGATATATAATTTTATGTTTTAAATGTGAAAGGAAATGCTAATTGCTTTTATCATACAAGATACCGAAAATAAATTTCAAGAAAATGTTCTTCCCTGGTGGAGTCTGAGTTTGAAGGAAATGCATGGAAACACCGTCTTGTTGACCTCTGATTAATTTTTTTTCCTTTAATTCTGTGGTATGTGTGCTCTTTATTATAAATGAGTTCCAATTCCTGCTGGAAGTAGTCAGAGAATAAACCAGAAAGCAACACTGTACTTCAGATTAAGTGTAATTTGTGGAGTAATGGCTAGGTTCCAACGCACACCCCACCTTTCCCCGACAGCTCCTTTTCCTGGGAAACCCGATGGTCAGACACTGTCCCTCCAAATGGCTACGATGACAGTGAAGCCTGGCCCCAGAATGCCTCCCCAGCTCTGTGGTCTGTCCTCCCTTCTTATCCTCTCTTCACCATGACAATTAGTCCTGGTGTTTAGCACGAAAGTATCCTGGGCTATTATTTCAGCGACATCACTGACTCCTGTGCTGTTTTTCCTTAGGTAATCCCTGTAGCACTCTGCCCGACATACAACACACAGTCAGGAAATCTTGGGTCGTGGCACCAATAATGGTACATTCTTCTTCCAAAGGGCTTTCTTCATTCAAAGCAATAAAGTGAATTGTTAAAACTTCAGGAATTGGGTCAGGTTGGTCAGAAGAAATTCCAGGTAAGAGGACTTTTGCACTTCCCTTTGATAAGCACTGCTGAGGTTAGGTCTGGAAAGTGGTGTCACTTTATATCCATACACTATGATTTCTTTTCCCTCCAATTTTATCTGCTTCTCTTTACAACTTTTTAAAAGAGCCTCTCTTTTCTATTATTCCACTTATTTTTTTCTTATTTTACCTCATTTGACTTATTCCTGGGATATTTAAGGAAACTACCTGATCCCTATGTCCTATTCAGTGAAAGCAAAAAAAAAAAAAAAAAAAAAAGG